CCTAAATCTTTAAAGGATAAAATGCTTTTGAGGCTGGCTTCTCTTTTCCAAGAAAATTACCAAATAAGGAAATTTTTTAGGAAAAAGGGGATCAGCAGAAAGAGTTTTTTTTTTTTTTGATCTTAATATTATATTTTAAATAGTTAGAGAAAAATTTTAAAGGTTTATATATAAAGTTTATATTTTTTATTGAATTTTTCTTTTAAACAAAATTATTAAGAAGCATTATATTATTTAAAAAAAACTTATTAAAAAAAATTATAAGAAATTTATTTTTTCAGATGAACAATATTCCAGATATTTCATAATATATTTAAAGTTCTTTGTAAAAAAAAAAATTAAAATTAAAGTAAGAATTTATAAAACTTTTATTTAAAGTTTATATTTGAAAAATATTTTATATAAGAAAAATAATTGATTTTTATATTTTTGAAGAAAATATGAATAGTTAATTCTATTATGAAATTTTAACTAACAATTTGTTTGAATAAACTTAATAAATTTTAGGCAAAAAATAAAAGTATCAACAAGATAATAATTCAAAGTATTGAATAAAGTTTACAATTGATCTTTTTCAAAAACATTGTTCTTATCTTCTTAATTGATTATTTTACTTACCTAATCTCAATTCAATCAAGAACTTGTGAACTATAATAAAAAAAAAAGATGAAAAAAAGAATTAATAATAAGTTAGTCAAAAAAAATCAATTATGAAACAAGATTTTAAGTCATTAATTATATTAGAATAAGAAAAAATAGATAAGAATTTGTGTTTTAATTTAGTTTTAGTTTATAAGATATCAATACTTTTAAATAAATATTAAACAAAATAAATAAATAAAAAATTGTTGGATTTTTTTTTTTTTTGCTAGTATTTTATTAGCACATCTTAAACTTTTTCTACTGTATAGTAACATAATTCTATATAAAAATATAAAGAAAAAAAGAGAATAAAAAATTTGTTCAAGAAGAAAATTTTTATAAAATAAAAAGAAGTAAAAGAGTTTTTTTTTTTAATAAGTATTATTTGTTTTTTCTAGATTATACTGTATGGTAATAGTTTTATCTAATTTTTTTTATTTTCCTCTTAAGTATAATTTAATTATAGCTTAATAAATAGCAATAGTTGCCAATAAATAGCTATCCGCAGTAGTGACCTGTGGGAGATGATGTTAGAAGTTGGAAGGGTTTCTACCCGAACTACTAAAGGAGTGATAAATTACTCCCGAAGTTGCACAGAGTTTTAGATAAAACTTTGACGAGTGAGTTAGTTAGAGATTTAGCTTTAGCATCACATATCAATGATAGCCTACAATTGTTTAATAAAGCACACATAACTAGCCTGACAGAGGGTTAAAAAAAAAAAAATAGCTAGTTTGTAAAATTGCTTGTAAAATCTACTTTTTAAATTTAAAAAAAAATCCTATAAAGAGATAATAATTAAATTTTGTTTATTTTTCAAGGTGCACCAAGAATAATATGCCAAAGATGAAACAAAAATTGAGCAGCACAGCCGATGAGAGTGCACATCTGCAGATCTACTACGCGTCATTAGATGATTAGATCGCGCGTCCATTCTCTCGTTTTAACCTTTTAATAATGGCCGAAAAAATAGAAAACACATGTTCCTTTGATATTCGATCCAAAACCACATTTTCCTTTGATATTCCGGCCTCCATGGTTCACACCAATGAAAGCATTTATACTCCACCCTTCGCGACCACATATAATATGTATTGGCAATTACATCTCAAGGTAATGGCATCTTACATAAGGACGATCTCAAACGGAAAAATGAGTAATACCACTAATTAGACAAATCACGATCGTCAAAAGAAAAGTACAAATGATCCAACATATCATTCTCTAACTCTCAATGCAATACCGAATCCCGATGAGGAAATTTCTTCTTCCACCTGGGATGATCGAGAAAAATTCTCTGCTACGATTTTTATGAAAAATCCTTATCTAGAATTAGAACATGGAGCTCTATGCGATTCATCGATCCTGGATTATGAATTCGGTGTGTAAAAAAAAAAATTTTTTTTTAATCAGTTATTTCGCGATCTTTTTTTCCTTTTTTTTTTTTTTCAATTTGGAGAGCTTTCTTTTTCTTGCAGGAATTGAAAATTTCGTTGAATCCTGTGACCTTCCGAAAACTGGGCATATAACAATCGGCGTTTTATTTGACGATGTGAAAATTGAAAATGAAAAGTCATACTCCCCGCTTCCATCTAAGCCGTGGCCAGAAGATCTCATTGATGCTTGGTCCAACGAATTGAATCAACCCGATATTTCCGATATTCAATTCATTGTGGATGGCGCAGAGATCTATGGTCGTAGTTCAATTCTCTCACGTCGTTCGGAATATTTTCGTAAAATGATCGATGGGGGTTGGACCGAAAATAATTGTTATTCGAAAAAGGACGGCGAAACTTCAGCAACAGACAATGATTATTCCGGCGAGGATATAACAGAAACTGCAACCATAGAATCATCGGAAAATACTTCTCTGGAGGATACACCATCTACTCTTGAAATTGCCGAGGAAAATACTCAGCAACATAAATCTCTTCGACATATTCGTTACAAGGTCAACGTAACAGACGTTCATCAAGACACTTTCCTCGAGATGTTACGCTATTTGTATACAAATAACTTAGAAATTGATTCAAAATCTTTACACAGAAGACCTATAGATATTTTCATTGTTGCTGATAAATATCTTATTCCGGATTTGCGCCAATTAGCAAAATCGCACATATACAAAGACTTAACAGTAGATAACGCGGCAGAGATTTTATTTGGTCAAGTTTATAAATGGAATGATTTGAAGAATGATGTGATGAAGTATGTGGCGACAGAATTTTCAAAGATTAGAAAGACCAGTGGGTATCAAAAAATAGTATCAAATCCAGTGGATTATCCGATGGCTGTTGCATTGATGTCTGAACTTCTGAAGTTGTTAGTCCCCGATGACGAACAATAATTTTGCATTCTGTTGCGAATGTTAGTTCGCATTGGTTTTGCTTTCATAAATTCAGATTTGATTACAAAATTTCTGATCGATAACTCATGATTTTTCAATAAGATTAAAAATCTTGGGCTGATCAAACCTGCAAAGAAAAGGTCTTAATTTGACACCCGGAGAAAAAAAAGTATAGACAAGTTTAATGTTTAAAAAGATAACGTCAAACTGAATTAAGATTGTGCTGTAATAAAGAATTGTTTAATTCTTGACCAGATACGATAACAAATCTACTTTGGTTACTACATGTCGGGTTATAAGTCCATTTTCCCCACGTTCAGTAACAACCGCTGAACTATGGTGCTCGAAGAATTTGGTTAAATCCTCTAAAGGTGTGTCTACTGTGATTTCTTGGAAATGCTTTCCCGACCTATCGAATTTGAACATCACTTCACTAACAGGAGAATCAGCTGTCTTTCCTCCTCTGGATAGCTTAGCCAATAAATTTCCGAGAGTAACCAGTCCTACTAACTTGTTATGAGAAGTAACTGGCAATTGATTGAATCCATTGCTTTTTAGCACATTGATTGCTTCTCGACAGGTAAAAGTTGAATCGATGGTAACTGCGACCTTAAGATTAAGATCGCGAATAGTAGCGCCTCCATATTGTTGAACTTTAACTTCATCTTTTTTTATAACTTCATCAATAAATCCGTGAGATTTCATCCAATCATCGTTTAAGAATTTAGACATATAATTTCGAACGGAATCGGCGAATAGGACAACACAACGTTGACCTTTTTTCAAAGATTTGCACGCCTGGATTGCTGCCCACATCGCAGATCCCGATGAACCACCAGCAAGAAGTCCCTCTTCCCGAATTAATCGACGGGCGTAAATAAAAGAATCCTTATCATTTGATTTTAT